TCTAACCCCATGCTGTCCCCGTCCTGGGAGGGTTTAATAGGGACAGTGTAGAGAGAGCTTTACTCTGTATCTAACCCCGTGCTGTCCCTGTCCAGGGAGGGTTTGATGGGGGACAGTATAGAGGGAGCTTTACTCTGTATCTAACCCCGTGCTGTCCCTGTCCAGGGAGGGTTTGATGGGGCGGGGGGCAGTGTAGAGGGAGCTTTACTCTGTCCCTAAGCCTGTGCCCCTCTGACGTATGGGTACTGGCAGACCGCTGCAGTGCGCTGTGATCTTGTTGCCTGTAGGATTCCTTGAGCTGGATCTCCATGACCAGGTGCAGTTGCTGGAATGTTGCTGGTTGGAGGTTCTCATGGTCGGATTAATGTGGAGGTCGATCGAGTATCCAGGAAAACTGCTGTTTGCCCCGGACCTCATTCTCGATCGGTAAGTGGAGAGTCTTGATTAGTCTCTGTCTTCGCAACTTCCAAACTCACGCCATGCCTTGTGAGCGCTAACCAAATGCTCATTGTTACGGACCAGACCTAACCTCCTCAAAATATTTAAGAAGGGAGCCTAGACTCTAAATTTTTCTTATTTTAAAGGTAGATGTGAAGTGCTGTATTCCAGACGCAATGCAACTGGCTGAATTACTCAATGTTGAGCAGAGCTCAATTTATTTAAACACTCTAGTTAAAATGCAAACAAAAGAAAGAGGAACTTAGAATAACTTAACTATTGGAAAACTTAACCTAATATTAGATATCGGTAACTATTACTAGTTAACTGTTCCAGTATGGTAAAACCCCATAAACACACTCCTTGACAAAAATAAAGGAAAATTCAGAAACAGAATCTCACATGCAGTTCTCCAAACCAGGAGGGAAAATAAATCAAGAAAAAAATTCACAGACTAGCAGCCCAGAGACATTCACTGAAGTTTTCAACTCTTTGAGACCCCAAAGGTGTCTGCTTAAAGCTAGACCTAAAAACCAAAAAAAAAACTAGACAACCTGGTCTATGAAAGCTCTCCACATGCAGGCTGCTTCCATTGTTCTAACTTTCAAAAAAAAACCCAAGGTCTTGACAAATTGTTTACTTTCTCTGAGACACCGCGACACGTCTGCCTTACAACCTCTCTTCAAAAAGAACCAGGACAAAACAACCACTGAAAGGGACAGCATTGTCACCATGAGGCCGAAAACATCCTCATTCCGAGCTCCATCTGGGAGATAATCTGCCATTTCCTCAGCACTGACCCTCCGACAGTGCAGCGCTCCCTCAGCACTGACCCTCCGACAGTGCCCACTCCCTCAGCACTGACCCTCCGACAGTGCGGCGCTCCCTCAGCACTGACCCTCCGACAGTGCGGCGCTCCCTCGGCACTGACCCTCCGACAGTGCGGCGCTCCCTCGGCACTGACCCTCCG